GAGACAGGAGGATCTGATGGTCCACTGTGTTAAAGGCAGCAGTTAGATCCAGCAGCATCAAAACTACACAGTGACCAGAGTCTGTGGCTAAGAGAATGTCGTTAAAAACTTTCAACAGTTCCGACTCAGTACCATGGTGAGTTTTAAAACCAGATTGAAACAGTTCAAGAAGGTTGTGGTCGTTTAAGTAAGATGTTAACTGACTGTAAAATATTTTCTCCAAGATCTTCGACACAAAGGGCAGTTTTGAAATATGCCTAAAATTGGACATGTCTTAAAGTCAAGACCGGGTTTTTTAATCAGTGGTGTCACAACTGCATGTTTAAAACTCGCAGGTACCTGTCCACTTGACAAGCTACCATTTATGAGTTGGGACACAAAAGGAGCCACCGTGTGAAAAACCTCTTTAAAAAGACGAGGTGGGATGGGATCGTTTGGAGATCCAGCAGACTTCATACGACCAGTGATGTCTTTATAAAAGGCAGGGTGACGAGCTCAAACTGACTGAAAACAGCAGAGCGTGTGACAGAGATGGAGGGGTCAAAAGAAGGAGGGCTTATGAGAGCTCTGTTTGCAACCTTGTTGGTAAAAAAGCTTAGGAAGTTCTCACACACTCCAGTGGACTTCTCCGGGCTGGCTGATTGTGGGGCATTAAGAACAGAGCTGATGGTTTTAAAAAGCACACGTGGATTGTTAGAGTTGGTGGAAATGATGTCAGACAAATATTTGTTTTTTGCAGCTCTAACAGTGGACTGATAGAAACGCCAGCTGTCCCCCAGTGCTTGGAAAGACACCTGTAACTTGTCTTTCTTCCATTTTTGCTCTGGTCTCCTGCACTGGCGTCTGGCAGCACGTGTGACATCATCAGTCCAGGGGTCAGGCTTCGGTCTGGAGGTTCTCATCTTTAATGGAGCCACAGCATCTAAAACAGTCTGACAAGCTGAGTTAAAATGAGAGGATACAGCTTCAACATGTGAACTAGGACCCACAGGATCCCTGGAGCTGATGGCAGAACTAAAATCTGCAGAGAACTGAGCAGCAGTGGAGGAGTTAATGACCCGACAGGGCTGTGCAGGAGCGCGAGGTTTGACTGAGTGACAGACAAGTGGCATGTCAAACACAACAGGCATGTGATCTGAGAAAGCAGCATCACACTCTTCCAGATTAGAAACATTAAAACCATGAGCTAAGACCAGATCTAATGTGTGGCCACATTCTTGTGTTGGACCAGACACAAACTGAACAAAATGAAAAGAATCCATCAGCTGTAAAAAAAATCTTTGACTAACGGTTTGTCAGCACAACACACGTGGATATTAAAATATCCAATTATCAATATTCTGTCATATTTAGGCAGGACTCCTGCCAACAAATCTACAAAGTTAGTTAGAAAGTGGATACCTGGATGACTGAGAAAACAAACTTTGTGTTTTTGAAACCATTAGTGAAAAGGCCAGACTTCAGGGGTATCTGAGGCAGGCTTGAAACACAAGAGTCAGGGTGGCTTCTGGGTAATACCAGATGGCTAGGCCTCAGACTGACGAAGCCTCTTGGATGAGGGGCGAAACGTTTCTTTTTAACAAAAAAACGAAGTCCAGATGACATGATTCAACCTTTTTTGTTGTTAGTTAGAAAGTCCTTGTTGTATTTTGGAGGTCTGTATAAAACAGCACACAGCACCCGGTGTGAAGATCCAAGCTCAAATAAGTTGAACTCAAAGCTGGAATAAAATGTTTAAGGTGTGATTTACAGAGACAGCTCTTCCTGTGCACAGTTGCTATTCCTCCTCCACGACCTGTCCTCCTGGGAGAGCTGAAGAAAGGACAGTTCAGTGGCAAGAGTTCACAAAAAGCACTGGACTCACCAGAAGTTACCCAAGTTTCATCCATCCATCCATTATCTTTACCCACTTCTTCCATTTTGGGTCATGGGGGTCGCCGGTGCCCATGTCCAGCAATCACTGTGCGAGGGGCGGGGTACACCCTGGACAGGTCTCCAGTCCATCAAAGGGACACATAGAGACAAACGAGACAAACAAACATTCACTCTCTCACTCACACCTAGGGACAATTTAGAGTTACCAATCAGCCTTAATGCATCAATCTTACCAATCTTAATGCATGTTTTTAGTCTGTGGGAGGAAACCGGAGTACCCGGAGAAAACACACGCATGCACGGAGAGAACATGCAAACTCCACCCAGAAAGGCCCCTGGACCGGGGTTTGAACCAGGGACCTGCTCACTGAGAGGCAGCAGCTCTACCAGTTGTGCCACCCTCAATTAAAGATGAATAATATAAAGTTCTAGCTTCACGGAGAGCTTTTTTATATGTTAGCAGACTATCTTTCCAAGTTAAATAAAATTCTTCAACATTAGTAGAGCGCCATTTTCTCTCCTGGTTTCTAGATGCTGCTTTAAAGTACGTAACTCAGAATTGAACCAAGGAGCCAGTTTCCTCTGATTGATTACTTTCTTTTTCAGTGGAGCAGTTTTATCAAGTGAAGTTTGCATTGAAGTTGTAAGATGATCAACTAGATGATCTAAGTCTCTGTTCTCTGATGCATTACTCTGCAAGACAGAGGAAACATTGATGAGATTGTTTAAATTTGGTTACAGCATTTTCTGATAAGCACCTGCTGAGATGAAATTTACTCTCAGTGACTGTGTAGTCATTTAATGTAAACTCAAAGTTATTAAAAAATGGTCGGACAGAACAGGATTTTGAGGAACTATTACCAAGTCCTTAATCTCTGCACCATAGGTCAGAACTAAATCAAGAGTGTGATGATAAGAATGAGTAGATGTGCGGACGTTTTGGGTAAAACCAGATGAGTCTATTAAATTATTAAAGGCTATGCTTAAACTATCACTCTCAACATCTACATGAATATTGAAATCACCCATTATGATGATTTTATCAGTATTTAATAATAAGTCAGTTAATAATTCTGATAATTCAGACA